AAAATCAAATCACTTTACGGTGAAAAATATTCAATTTGAAATTCAGAAGAATGAAAAATTGTAAAACTTTTTTTGAAGTAGTTCAATCTTCTACCAGCACACTGAAACTGCACCCAGAAATGCCAAAGACCTGGCAGAGAAACAAAGGTAATTATCCAAAAGAAAAGAAGGCAACTACAGCAGCTCTGATCAACTCCACAGGTAGCTCACCAGCATCTGATGCGAGATCTTGCTCAATTTCTGAATTCGAACTAAAGTATTTAGAGAGTTAAAAAATAAAACATTTAATTAACTCAATCGAAAACCAGTGTCCAGGTACCCTTGAAATTTTCTCTGTAAGAACACGTGCGCTACTTACATAAAACGTTGTCGAATAAAGATCCACTACAAATCCGGCTATCCATTAAATAAAAATAGAAATATCAAATAAAAAAGACGCATTATTTAAGATGAGACAATGAATCCAAATCTAGTACGTTCAATAACGAAATGCCACTTAAAACTGAAAATTCTGCATAAAGACTCTTGAAGGTAATATGGCCAAGGCGTCCATGAACCTGATGTAGAATCTTGATGTCTCCAAATGCCGCTGCAATCCACTGCCGCAGAGTGGATCTACGCAAGTTAACTATGTTTGACACTGTCATGCAAATACTATTTTATTATAAATTCCATTTCCAAATATTCAAATCCTAAAGCACTTACAACTTCGGTTATTCGACTTGTCCTCATTATGGGTCTCTGGACGAAAGAAAGTGGACTCGCCTTCACTATTTCCTGCTGTCCGCTCTCTACTTTTAAAGCTGGACAAGTAATATGACCATCGGTAGTCTCAATAGTTCCTGGACGACCCATTGGACATTTATAGTCCAGCAGAACCGTCTTGTAATTGACGCCCTGCAGCTATCGCTGAGGTGAGCCATATGAGAGACTCATTTTGTCGCAAAAGGCAAAAATTATGTCCATTAATGCAGCCTATTGTAGAATTCTGACGGTTGGAACGTGATCTCTGAGGGATACCTTGCACACTTGTGCTCCGTCGCTCATTGTATGACCATAATTTTGTTCTCCTCAGCTTTACTGGCAGATAAACATTCGGCCATGTATATGATGGCGGCTAAGATAGTTGAATCGAACATCTGACTTTTGGTCTGCATGGGTAGCTTAATGCGGAATTAATACGTTTCAATATAGTTGGAACCGGCCATTTATGTTTTCCTTCTGCTGATTTCTCTATCCATTTGACGGAGATAGTTCTACATAAATTTTTTTCTGCCTTACATATAAACCAAATATAAACTTAATGATTTTTGAGTTATTCAGATCCCCACACAAAGAACAACCACAGATCTCTACTGATAGAAAGTCACAATTAGTGTTTCGTAGGATGCTATTAATGTTACCCTTAAATATTTTTAAAACCGGATGAAACAATCAAGGCGGAAAGACACTCTTGTGAATTAGAATTATTCATTAAATGCAAATTACGCCTATACTTGGCGCTCCTCATCGTTTCACAAGTCACTTCTCGAAAATTAAAGCAGTTGGAGTAAGAAACTATCCTTCATGCTCATTATTCATTGGAACCTTCTCCCAAAGACTACCGTCTTCTCAAATCTCAACAGTCACCAGAAGGAAAAACGATTCTTCAATTAAGCACTGAATGAAATCACCTTTAAGCGGTTCTTTGACCCCAGAAATCGACATTCATTCGATCTTAGTATAAATCTGCTTGAAGCTCTTTGGCAGAAATGTGTTTAATCAAAAGAACTTACTCTTTTTTGTAACTTACTATTATTTAAGCAACAATTTGAGCTCTCAAAGTTGAGGTTAAAAACAGACTTATGTAACAACCTGGTAATGCTCTAGGAACAGATGTGTGCAGTGAAAGGTTTAAACGGCACAACACGGAGAGAAGTGTTGACAGTGTCAACTGAAAATATAACTAACTCTTTCGTGATTTAAAGATATAAAATGATTATTTAAATAGCCATGCGAAAGAGCGGAAATTTATCCCTAATACAACGTGATAAGCAAGATGCCAGCAGCAGAAACACAAGTTCAGAAATGATTAATTTTTCCCAGCTGTCGCAGATAACATTTCCAACTACTTTAATGCTACGAACCTTGCGTGGATATGGAATCGGACCGACTTGCTCCATGAATTCGAGAACGCTTTCAACAGAGATGCCGAGATCACTGAAAGAAATAAGAAGGTCATCAAATATCGGCTGCGTTCGACCACCTAAAATGCATTGTTCAGCTGAGAAGCAGTAAAACACACGAATTCTTACAGTGCTGACAGATCGACGCCAGGCTTTGACACATGGTCTGCAAACGTCGGTTCAGTACTTCCACGAGGACACGGAACGCGATACGAGACGTTGAGTGGAAGCCGATATTTTGACTGATGATCGCCAAAGAAACTTTCAAAACACCGAGGGCAAATTGATCACTCATTTCTAAAACGGTTACTATGAATACTTTATCATAACATCATCATTACTATTATTATTATACACTCCACTACGTATAATGTGGCACTAGTCTCAATTGTTATGGGGTTAGATTTTGTGCAGCTCAAATCTATCAGGAGAGTTAAGGCGAATGGCGGTCATAAAATGCATGCATCAGAAGCAATGCAGTACGCGTCTTGCACTCCGACGTAACCATACCGAACGCCAAGCTTTCCCGAAGTTTATGCTAAGCGAGGACTCGAACTCATGGGGCGAAACAGAAAACGGGAATGACGCTCCCGATTTTTTTCTCGAACATTTCGGTAATTTACGACGTTCATAGTAAAACCAGTAGTACTACCGATACTAGTAGAAAGTAGCGCATAAATCTTCTAAAAGCCAGATGTCACGGTGTAATCCATCTTCTTGCTCCTAGCTATCTGGGGTGAGTGGGAGGCACTGCAGAATGCCACGGCCGGCTCTTTAGTATCCGAGTACCTGCAGCGTTAAACGCACATGGCATAATTTCTTTTGCTAGGTCAACATTACGCCAATCACGAGCAATGCTTCAGGAGCTAGAACCCTTGAAGAATATTTGTAATGGCATTAGAATTACCACAAAGATGAAATACCGCATGAAATCTGAAATAGTTCCCCTGCACGACGGTCATGGAATATCAAGTATAAGCAAAACTAGGTTTATTTGGACCATATACACCAAGTAAACGGCGATACGAAGAAACTAAAGAAGAACGATACCAACAAGAGATATGGTAGCAGAAAAAGAAAATATAGCAGAAGTGGGAAGATGAAAGATTAGAAAAAAAATACAAGGTATCCAGGCTAGGATAATGATAGCAACATCAATTATTTCGCGCATTAATCTCAACCTACGATTTCTACGATGCAATGTAAACTTTGAACTAAGGGTTATGTTATTGTGCGCTGAGCAAGAAAAAAAAGGAGACAAGAATATGGAACCAGTCGTTAAACTGAAATAAATGATCGACACAAAGATTCAGCTCATAAGTACACCGATGATTACAAGATTCTTAGTTCTTTAACGTACAAGAAGAAATGAATAATAATACAACTCTCACATACCCGCGGTGACATTATTTCTCTGAAAAAAAGTTGAACTGTAAAATGTTAATTGACAACTAAGAGCCACACAATTCCGATGGACAAACTTATCTATAATAGCTCAATCGACCTGATTCATCCTCTCTCTGAACCAAAAGATAGATATGTTTCTAAGCACAAACTATCTTGGTGTCATCATAGACGTCATAAAAGTCTACACTTCAGCGCCTACGCAGTAAAAGTGTGGTCAAAGCTATTTTATGAAACGTCTAACTTTATTACAAATCCCAAAAACGAATCAAGGAACTGATTCTAACATCGTACGTCTTCCAATTATGTTTCGCTAACATATCCTCCTCTTGAAAATCCTACGCAAATTTCGATCAGGATATGAAACTTAACGGCAAGATAGGTCACGAATATGAATATCGTAAGCATCGCGGTAGTTCAGATAAAGTTAATTATAAAATTTGCTAAATCTACCCAAACCGATGTTCTCCATCCCTTGCATCAGGAATTTTCAAAATGCACTTCGAAATCTTATACCACAAGGTCTCAACACGCCTGTGCATGGCAAATACTGAAACACACAGAAGATTTGTGATCCCGTAAATGACTCGAACTCTGCAGAAAGAGGAACGGGAAAGACGGGATCTGCACGCATCGACTGTCATCGTAATCTGAATCAACTTACCAGGCATCAATCAATTTCCTGTTCATCAGGAAATTCCTTTATTAAGTGCCTCACTATTGTATATTTTACTTGTTCATATCCGTTATATGCATAATGCTATATCAATGAGCCAGTGATTGCTAAAATGTCAGTCGTTGTTAGTCTTACGTCCTATTTCCGATCATTTAAGCAGTAAATTTTTTTTGACAGACTGATAGGAACTCCCTGAGAGAAATCTAAACATACAAGACGAGCCGGAAGTACATCAGTAGCACATCACATACTCATCAGTAATAGAATCAGAGGACTTCACATACAGACAATATCCAGTCTAAGTCTACAACAGAGGATCATTCGTGTGTAAAATAGATAAGATTACATATGCAAGTAGATAATATTCAGCTTTTTACGTCCATCATGAGGTTCTAAAACCATCCGAAGTCCGCAAACAATTGCTTGAAGGTCTAGAACCATTTCCTCAAATGATTCGGCATTATATGTTGCCAAAACACAATCTTTCATCGTATTTGAATGGAAAGCAACAATGAATAATAAAAACATCAACTTTCAAATATGGTGGCTTTGAATGTGAAAAAAATCGTCCCCTTTCAGTCAGTCAGTTTCAATGACCGCTTTTCCTTCCGGGTAGCCGAGGCAGATGAGACAGATAGTATCTCCAACGTTCCCACTCAATGCCAGCATTTGAGCTCCGACAGAAAATAAGCAATCTCACGAGCAAGGTCGTTCAAGACAATTTCCACAGGGTATTCTTGACCGCACCGCGGTCTTCGACTAACCGGTTGCCCAAGCAGTAGTTGGCTGTTTTGCCTTTTTCTCCAAGTATTCATAAAACTTGCCCAAACCTTCGCGGGTGCGACTTCACAACCTTGAGAAGCAGCGGTTGTACGCAATGGTTCTATCAGATACCTGAATTCTGGACCATTTCGAGATGCGTAAGCTCAGCGAATTTGTTTTAAGGCACATTTCAAGCTCTTGCACACGAGATTAAACTTTTTCAGCAGCAGCTCACTACTCGACCGTAACTGAACATCTGGATGAAGAGCGACTTGAACATACAGTGCAAAGTCTTCAGACTCGCATCATTTTTCGTCTCCATGATTCGGGCAAGTTTACGCAGTACTCTGCTGTCCATACTGATTCGGCGATAGAGCTCGTCCTGCAATTTTCCATCACCAGTAAACACGACAAAGAGGTACGTAAATCCACATTACCTACCGCTTCTTCGCCAAGATGCAAGGTGCAGCGCACAGGAGAATGAGTTTTTACACGTATCCATTCACACCTGGCTACCATCCATTACACAGTGTGCAGTGCAGTTTAAAAAAATGACAAAAAACCACGGTCGTATGTAACGGGCAAACTTTCTCCACAACTGCAACGTTGACACACTCATCGAGTTGGCTATGTATCATTATCTTGCTACAGAACTCTGTATTGGCGGAGAACAATGCCAACGCTGAAGAGTTTCGACGTAATGCCATTTACTCCGACGAAGCACCTGTCATCAACATATATTAACTGAATTACTCGTAACAGATGAACTTCGATCTCATATATTTGCAAGAACTCCTACAGGTTGTTACTCCGGATTCGGCCAAGGGCTTTCTTCAGATCAACAAAGTACACATAAACAAGATGAGCGAACTTCAACGATTTCTCAGTAATGTGGCGTAAGACGAAGAACTAGTAAGAGAAGTTTCAGCCTAACTTAAATCCACGTAACTATTCCTAGATCTTGAAGTAAACTATTCCGCGGCAGCTCCATTCCAACACGTCTGTATAGACTTTTCCCGGGAAGCTCAATAAGGACATGTCCAGAGAACTGAGGTACTCCCTATAGTTTCACTTCTTGAACTGGGGTACTAAAAGCCCAGTTTCTAGCCCACTGGTTTTATCCCCGCAGGTATTGCAATTTGACAGACATGTGTTCGCCACACCATGCCTTCTTTGCCTAAAGTTTTAAGCATCTCAGCGTGAATCTCACAGATTCCAGCAGCCTCGTGACGTTGCATGCCGTTTACAGCTTTTGTGACGTCCACAGCAGTGGGTTAACTTATGCTCCTTGCTGCAATACAGGCGAGTTTTCCTGCGATTGTTCCGAGTTCCTCAAAATGCTCTCCCCACCACCAAAGAATGTCCTCAGAGGGTGTTCAGATCTGTCCTTCAAGAATCTGAGAATGTCCTCCTTTTCACCTCGGAGCCAGCGGATGGTCTGCCAAAATACTTTGTTTGCTGTGTGGAAATTCGACTCCATCACCTCACCGAACTTCTCCCAGGAATTAGCCTTGGCTTTTGCCACTCCTATGGCTGCCGCCTTGCATGCCTCGACATATCACATACCAGAAAAATACTCTTTGTTTCCAAGCCTTTTTGAACGAAGTTTTATTCTCTTTAACTGCCATTTGTACCTCTCGTGTCCACCATGAGGATCATTTCTGACTCCAGGCGGCAGGCCGTTTATATCCGCGGCATTTTTCGGCAACCTCGAATATGCCGCTCTAAAAGAGCTACCACTCGGTTTCCACATCAGTTGTCATCATTGGTATCTGTTCAAACCGTCGTGCAATGTTTGCAAATTTCGCTCTCGTGTCCACCGAAGACAGTGTTTCCCATTTGACTCTCCGGTTGCTTCTGCCACCGGATCTTCGTATGGCACTCCATTTCTTACAGCGCCGCGTGTCAACAACAAGGTGATGATCAGTTGACAGGTCTGCGCCTCTGCTAACGCGAACATTCAGAACTCAGCGTCTTAAGTCAGACGATACAATTATCAAATCGATCATCGACTTCTGTGCACAAGCATCCCGGTACAAGGTATGCTGATGCACTTTTCGATGTTCGAAGGTGTTCATAATGGACAATCACTTGCTTGCAGAAAACCACAATAACTTCAAGTCGTTATTAGTGAGGTTGCTAAGACCTTTGTTTCCAATGACGCCTTTCCACTTTTCAGCGTCTACTCTGACATGCGCATTAAAATTGTCCAATAGAATGAGGGACTCCGAAGTCGACGGTACAGAACACACTCCACTTCTTCAAAGGAGTCATATCCTGCCACCAGGTTGGGCGCACAGACGTGTAATAAGGTCAATGCTTTAGCCCGTTCAGCGGGAAAATCGCTACCCCTCAGCTGATAGGCCTTAAGTCAGTGATTCTGCCAGCCAAACTGGGTTCTACTAGAAGACTAACAGTGGTCTGAGTGCGGGTCATAAATCTGACACCTATGT